AAGCTCTTTCCGGCAATGTTATCGGCGGCGTGTGCCTACATCGACCAGAAAACGACGACATTTCTTTCTAAACCTCTTCCAAACACGGGGATGCCACCTCACTTTTACGTGACAGCAGACAAGTCCACCAATCAAGTCACCGTCATTTGTCCGATTGTAAACGGTAGCCGAGAAGGGATTATCCTGGGTGCTTGTGAGGTCTACACCAGCTCTGATGGGACTGGTGTTTGGTGAACATGTATGTTACACCAAACACGAGATTGCGTGGGAAAACTCTAAAGTAATTACCACAAACAATCGCTATGGTCAAAGACTTTGCCTAGAAGCGTGGCATATAAATATGAGTCATCATGCTTTGAATAGGGATGACGGCGCCTATTTGCCAGAAGAAGATATGCATCTTCTTGGCAGGTGACGTCATCCCTTGGGTATTTAAGAAGCCACGATCGCAGTTTTAGATCACCCCTGATGAAGACACTAGACTGGAGTGTCGAAACGTTGGGTTTTGATTACAATTCGACTGGGCTTTGTAATCATTTATTTAAACCAGAGTAGCGAGCGAAACATGAACATTACTATTATTGCTCAATTTAACTTACTATGAATGGATTTTGGTGACTCTTTTACTACTGTCTTGTCATCTGGAAATCCTCGTGCCCACTTTGTAACTTTTCATCAACGTTACTATAATTGCTCAATTTAACTGACTATGAATGGATTTTGGTGACTCTTTTACTACTGTCTTGTCATCTGGAAATCCTCGTGCCCACTTTGTAACTTTTCATCAACATTACTATAATTGCTCAATTTATCTTACTATGAATGGATTTTGGTTAATTATCTATTTATCCGGCTGTTCTCTTGTACGTTTTTAACTCAAAATGACCTGCTAACCACCACTTACCACACCTTTGCTGTTCAAGGACATTTAATAATTGAAATACCTTCCTAACCACCACTTGGTTGCTGTTTAAAGACATTTGATAACTGAAATACCTTCCTAACCACCACTTGGTTGCTCTTTAAAGACATTTAGTTACTGAAATACCCTCCCTAACCACCACTTGGTTGCTGTTTAAAGACATTTGATAACTAAAATACCTTCATGTTTCGCTCGCTACTCTGGTTTAAATAAATGATTACAAAGCCCAGTCGAATTGTAATCAAGACCCAACGTTTCGACACTCCAGTCTAGTGTCTTCATCAGGGGTGATCTAAAACTGCGATCGTGGCTTCTTAAATATCCAAGGGATGACGTAACCTGCCAAGAAGATGCATATATTCTTCTGGCAAATAGGCGCCGTCATCCCTATTCAAAGCATGATGACTCATATTTATATGCCACGCTTCTAGGCAAAGTCTTTGACCATAGCGATTGTTTGTGGTAATTACTTTAGAGTTTTCCCACGCAATCTCTTGTTTGGTGTAACATACATGTTCGGCTAAAGCTGATTTTCCCTTGTCTAAAGTTGAAACAGCCTTTTGATGTTCTTTTAGCCGTGTACCAAACTGGCGTTTAGACTGACCCAAATACTCTTTATCGCAGTCACCGCATGGTATAGAATATATAGCATGAGTCTTCTGATTTTTTTCAACAGGATCTTTTGGCTTTGTGAAAATATGGCCTAAAGTCAAATAGGGTTTTAAGGCAACCTTAATATTACAATTACTTAAGATTCTCTTGATTGGTTCTGTGACACCTTGAATGTATGGAACTATTGCAAAACCCTTAACAGAGGCATCACCCTCGGAGTTATTTTGGTTCCTACAAACAGGTGGTCTCAGGCAATCATTAAGAAAACGCTTTGGGTAATTGTTTTCCCCTAAAACATTTAGAACATATTCACGTTCATTAGCTTGAGAATCACTGTTTGACGGCAACGATTCAGCTCTTTGAAGCAAAGTTTTTGCTACGGATCTTTTATGGCTTACTGGGTGATGAGAGTAGTATGACAAGTATTTGTCTGTGTGTGTGGGTTTGCGATAAACATCAGTCTCTAACTTCCCTTCGACAGTTCTGTGTACATTCAAATCTAAAAAGGCTAAATGTCCATTTGTTTCACGTTCTACCGTGAATTGGATGGACGGCTCAATAGAATTTAAATGTTGCAGCAGAATATCGATCTCATTTGTAGAAACGTTTCCAAAAACGATAGGGACACCGGAACAGAGGCTAAAGCTCTTTGTTCGACATCTTCCATTACTAAATTAGCAATTACTGCCGAAACTGGTGACCCCATCGCTGTTCCAAAAACCTGTTGATAATAACAGCCCTCAAACACAAAGTATGTGGCGTTGAGACAAAAAGACAGAAGATCAATAATATCTTCTACAGGCAAGGATGTTCTTTGTAACAAAGTTGCATCCTGTCTTAGTCTTTTTGCCGCAACCTTGATGGCAAGATCAACTGGGATATTTGTAAACAAGGAAACGACATCAAATGATACCAACACTTGATCTGCTTTAAGAGTTTTACCTCTTACAAATTCTGCAAAATGACAGGAATTTTTTACAGTGTTTTTGGTATTTCCCTCCACAGGGGACAAAATTTTCGCCAAAAAACTTGAAACTCCATATGTAGGAGAATTCACAAAGGACACAATAGGTCTCAATGGAATTTCCGGTTTATGGATTTTCGGTAAACCATAGAAACGCGGAGATAGTCCATCACTGCTGTATAACTTTTCATATGTAGCCTTGCCGATAATATTGGATTTCTTCAAAAGAAGTAACTTGGCGTTTAAACCTCTTTGAGTCTTTCCCCTGTGGTGGGAAATACCGAAAACACTGTCAAAAATTCCTGTCATTTTGCAGAATTTGTAAGAGGTAAAACTCTTAAAGCAGATCAAGTGTTGGTATCATTTGATGTCGTTTCCTTGTTTACAAATATCCCAGTTGATCTTGCCATCAAGGTTGCGGCAAAAAGACTAAGACAGGATGCAACTTTGTTACAAAGAACATCCTTGCCTGTAGAAGATATTATTGATCTTCTGTCTTTTTGTCTCAACGCCACATACTTTGTGTTTGAGGGCTGTTATTATCAACAGGTTTTTGGAACACTTTGAGGTCTTCCAATTTAGTAATGGAAGATGTCGAACAAAGAGCGTTAGCCTCTGTTCCGGTGTCCCTATCGTTTTGGAAACGTTTCGTCGATGATGTCATCTCTGCGGTTTCTACAAATGAGATCGATATTCTGCTGCAACATTTAAATTCTATTGAACCGTCCATCCAATTCACGGTAGAACGTGAAATAAATGGACATTTAGCTTTTTTAGATTTGAATGTACACAGAACTGTCGAAGGGAAGTTAGAGATTGATGTTTATCGCAAACCCACACACACAGACAAATACTTGTCATACGACTCTCATCACCCAGTAAGCCATAAAAGATCCGTAGCAAAAACTTTGCTTCAAAGAGCTGAATCGTTGCCGTCAAACAGTGATTTTCAAGCTAATGAACGTGAATATGTTCTAAATGTTTTAGGGGAAAACAATTACCCAAAGCGTTTTCTTAATGATTGCCTGAGACCACCTGTTTGTAGGAACCAAAATAACTCCGAGGGTGATACCTCTGTTAAGGGTTTTGCAATAGTTCCATACATTCAAGGTGTCACAGAACCAATCAAGAGAATCTTAAGTAATTGTAATATTAAGGTTGCCTTAAAACCCTATTTGACCTTAGGCCATATTTTCGCAAAGCCAAAAGATCCTGTTGAAAAAAATCAGAAGACTCATGCTATATATTCTATACCATGCGGTGACTGCGATAAAGAGTATTTGGGTCAGTCTAAACGCCAGTTTGGTACACGGCTAAAAGAACATCAAAAGGCTGTTTCAACTTTAGACAAGGGAAAATCAGCTTTAGCCGAACATGTATGTTACACCAAACACGAGATTGCGTGGGAAAACTCTAAAGTAATTACCACAAACAATCGCTATGGTCAAAGACTTTGCCTAGAAGCGTGGCATATAAATATGAGTCATCATGCTTTGAATAGGGATGACGGCGCCTATTTGCCAGAAGTATATATGCATCTTCTTGGCAGGTGACGTCATCCCTTGGGTATTAAGAAGCCACGATCGCAGTTTTAGATCACCCCTGATGAAGACACTAGACTGGAGTGTCGAAACGTTGGGTCTTGATTACAATTCGACTGGGCTTTGTAATCATTTATTTAAACCAGAGTAGCGAGCGAAACATGATTGATATACCTGGTTGCAGTGAACGAACAAACTTTATAAAATACCTTCCTAACCACCACTTGGTTGCTGTTTAAAGACATTTAATAACTAAAATACCTTCCTAACCACCACTTGGTTGCTGTTTAAAGACATTTAGTTACTGAAATACCCTCCCTAACCACCACTTGGTTGCTGTTTAAAGACATTTAATAACTAAAATACTTTCCTAACCACCACTTTGTTGCTGTTTAAAGACATTTAATAGCTGAAATACCTCCCTAACCACCACTTGGTTGCTGTTGAAAGACATTTAATAACTGAAATACCTTCCTAACCACCACTTGGTTGCTGTTTAAAGACATTTAATAACTGAAATACCTTCCTAACCACCAATTGGGTGCTGTTTAAAGACGTTTAAACGGTTTAATGGCGACACGTGATTGGGGAACCAATTAATTACTGTTTGAGCAAGATATTACAGGAAGGTACCTGAAAAATCAGTTTCTTTGATGATTTTTATCATGAATGAAGCGAATTTTTTTGGTATCTGTCTGCTATATTACATACAGTATGTATTGCCAGTGTTAGTCGGCGGAGTTGTGGGGTCGCTGGGGACCGAGGGGTATGTACAAATTACAAATACGAGGTAAGTGCACGGCGCACCAATCCGTTTTGTTTCCTATGGCCTGAGTTTCCTATGATTATTAATTTTGAGCCGATTTGTCCAATTTGCAAAGCGGGCGCGCAAATTAGAAAACTGGGCGCGCAAATTAACTGGGCGCGCATTTCTTCAACGTTGTCGGCTCTTCAACTTCTGTTACAAAGAGGGCTGTATGCTTTGCTGTTGTGATACCAGCGTATTCATCATGATAATAAACTGGTGGCTTTCTTTCTCGCGCTGAACACCTGCTATCAGGTGATTTCTTATCTGATTCTTCTTTAGAGCACTCATCATCCTTTTCCTCAACCTCCAATTGTACTCTGTTCGTATGTCCAAAGTCAGTTTCATTGAAAGTAACATATCGACGGATAAAGATTTACGTTTGTTCTCATCGTACAATCGATACCCCTTCTGTGTCAAACTATAGCCAACGAATCGTATTTTCACTGCTTTCTGGTCGAGCTTCTGACGTGAAGAATCTGGTACATGGGCATAGGCAGTGCAACCAAAAACACGGAAATTTGAAACATCCGGTTTCTTACCGTACCATCGCTCATATGGGGTGACTCCAGTTGCTGTTGTGATAACTCGGTTTCTTATGTATGCTGCTGAACAAACTGCTTCAGCCCAGAAACTCTTGGATACTCCTGCATGTAAGATCATTGATAAAGCAGCTTCCTGGAGCGTCCTGTTCATCCGTTCGGCGATACCATTCTGTTGTGGTGAGTGGGGTACAGTTGTCTCGTGATGAATACCTTTCTCTTTGAGGAAATTTGGAATTCAGCAGACATATATTCACCTCCATTGTCTGTCCGTAAAGTTTTAATTTTGCAATCTGCTTGATTTGTTACTACTGCTTCCCATTCTTTAAACTTATCCAACACTTCCGATTTGTGTGTAATGGGATTATACCTGTCGCGATTTAGGAAGAGCGTATTTTCGTTGGGTTTTCAGTTGGCCCAACAAAACCCAACGCTAATTAGTTATTCCAGAATCTCATGACAATGCCTAACACTTAATACTTCATGTTAGGTTGTCAAGGACCAGAACACTTGGGTGTGTAAAAAATTGAGGTCGAAAATTATTTTCACCACTCCCCCCTCAAACTAGTGTTTGGGAAAATGTTTGGCCGTTTTGTTTTCAGAAAAAACCCTGTTGACCTCCCCCTTCATCCCACCCGTCGCCAAAATTTTCCCAACAGCACAACGAACCCAACAAAATCCAACAGCCAAGCAAAATCCAACAAGACCCAACAGCACAACAGACCCAACAGCACAACAAACCCAACAAAATCCAACAGCCCAGCAAAATCCAACAAGACCCAACAGCACAACAGACCCAACAGCACAACAAACCCAACAAAATCCAACAGCCCAGCAAAATCCAACAGCACAACAGACCCAACAAAATCCAACAGCCAAGCAAAATCCAACAAGACCCAACAGCACAACAGACCCAACAAAATCCAACAGCCAAGCAAAATCCAACAAGACCCAACAGCACAACAGACCCAACAGCACAACGAACCCAACAAAATCCAACAGCCCAGCAAAATCCAACAGTACAACAGACCCAACAGCACAACAGACCCAACAGAATCCAACAGCCAAGCAAAATCCAACAAGACCCAACAGCCCAACAGCACAACAGACCCAACAAAATCCAACAGCCAAGCAAAATCCAAACACACTCTCCAGGCTATTTTAATATTGCACGCAATGCTTTAAACTAAGGTAATTCATGACCAAGTGCTTGACATGTATTTTCATGTATTTATTTATCTAATATTTTCCAAAGCAAAAAATAAAGAAAATATAAGTATTCAGAAAGAGAGAACAGTGTGATAGTGCATACAGTAATCTACAATTTCGGGGCACTGACAGAGGTGAGTTGTGATTTTCATTAGATGATCAATTATACAGTAGCTGCCCCTTCAACTATAACTTTCCAGATAAATTTAATGTCTTTAATATTCCAACCGCAAACGCAGAAAATATATTTTGTTTTCGTTTGAATTTTAGGGTTTTGTGGATGGACATTATCGAGTCAATAATAATTTCCATCTTCAATACCCTTCAACAAATATTCATTAGCATAATCTCAGTATTAAAAATGGCCTTTGAGAATTTGATTGGCTCCCTCAGCAGTAAATCCGAGGCAGTAGTTACTGCTCAGACTGCTTTGAGCAGTTTATGCAAATTATATTCATATACGATAAACATGTTAATTAGTTGTACTCAGGTGGATATGATGCTTGTGATGTTACTCTGAGTGTACATCCACACCGCGCAAGCTTACAAGCTTGCCCAGTGTAGATATTATACACTCAGAGTAACATCACAGGCATCATAGTTGTATATTAGTGAAATAATACTAAAACAAAGAGTCACCTCAGGCTCGGTGATTAGAAGGCTACAGATTTATATTCACTTTGCCTTAGGCTCAGTGAATATATATATTTTATTTATTTATTTAAAAATTCGCTCTATTTACATAATTAAGATAGAATATACAGTATAACGTCTGTTGAATACTAGAGCTAGGAGCCTTTAAGAAACTTTAAGAAGCTTTTAGTGCAAGGCCCCTATTACAGCAAATATTAAATTCAAACGATAGCTATTTGTCAGTTAATATATAGTACATAAAATTTTAAAGAAAGTTGTGATATAGTTTTACAATAATATAGATATACAACAAATATGAAGTTAGGAGTGCATGATGATGGAAGCATTGTTTTTACCCTACATTGTTTTAGACGTCCATGAATAATATAATATAATGCTGTATTATTATTATTCTTGTGTTTGATAATAAATTTTAGCTTGTTTTTTGAACGATTGGTAAAATTTGATGGATTTTAAATCTTCGTTCAAATTATTCCAAATATCTACTCCTTTATTGGAGAGAGTATGTTTCATATAATTAGTTCGGGTGTAGGTTTTATGTAGTTTTTTGGAACTTCTAGTATTGTGATTATGAATTTCATTATTAGTTTTGAAAAAATTGTTGAAAATTTCGGGCATATTGTTCATGTTGTAAAATTGAAACATAAATAAACTGGTCAAATAATCATTTATTTTGTAAATGTTTAATAGATTTAATTTTTTGAATAATGGTTCCGTGTGCTCAGAATACGGTTTGAAAGCGATTAGACGCACAATCTTCTTTTGGACACTCATCAATTTTTGCAATTTTGAAGGGTACGTGTTACCCCAAGCTAAATTAGCGTAAGTGAGATAAGGATAGACAAGGGCATAGTAAAGCAATTTTAATGTATTTTGATTCGTATAATTCCGAATTTTAGAAATAATTCCGGTTGATTTAAATATTTTTTTTAAAACTGAACCAATGTGATTATTCCATGTGAGTGTTTCATCGATTAGAACACCCAAGAATTTTGTACATTTCACTTGTTCGATCGACTGGTCATTTATTTTAATATCAATTTCAGTTAGTTGCTTTTTATTGCGTGCTCTGAAAAGGATCAATTTTGTTTTAGTTGTATTTATAGAGAGTTTATTTGTGTTTAACCATTTAAGTATTTCATTCATCTCTCTTTGCATTGTTTCTTTTGCTGTATTAATGCTCGAATTAGAATAGAATGCGTTTGTATCATCTGCAAACAGGACAAATGAAACAACATCACTGCAGTTTTGTATGTCATTTATGTATAATAAAAAAAGTAATGGCCCAAGAACAGATCCTTGGGGAACACCAGTTGTAATTTTCATTTCTTTAGAATTTTCCTGCTTGAATTTCACAATCTGCTTTCTATTCATTAAATAGTTTTTGAACCACGTTAAAGCAAGCCCTCTTACTCCATAATGCTCCATCTTTTTTAATAAAATATCATGATCGACGGTATCAAAAGCTTTTGATAGGTCAAGAAAAATTCCTATTGTATATTTACCTTCATCAATTGCTTTGGTAATTTTGTTAACAAGATTTACAATTGCTATTTCTGTTGATTTATTACGCCTAAAACCATATTGGTTTTCTGTTAGTATATAGGCTTCTAATTACCTCGCCTTCGGCCTGGTCAGGCATACAAGCCTGCCCAGTGTGTATATACACTCAGAGTAACATCACAAGTATCATAGTTGTATATTAGTCGTTTTAGTATAATTAGTGAAATTATACTAAAACAATGAGTCGCCTCGGGCTCAGTGTTTAGAAAACTACAGTATATTCACTTTGCCTGGGCTCAGTGAATATATAGGCTTCTAATCACCTTGCCTTCGGCGACTAATCGTAAAATAGAGTGAGATGCCAACAAAATATTGATATTTACCCATAACTTATACATGGCAGTACCCTAGTGTATATATATGCATTGAGCCGCAATGCGCTCGACTTATTTTTTTTACTTGTCTAATGCCAGACAATTTTACTTGTCAATGCATGGGAAGCTCTGCAACTTAATGGGTTAAAAAATAGTGCTTGTGTTTTTAGCCATGTATTTAAACATATTATCACAAAGTTTTAAAGAAAATTCAAAGAAATGCTGCCTACCTACAAATGCGCACTTCATACTTTTTTAACTTGTTTGCAGTCCTGCATGCTGTCCAACATTAAATTTTATTATTGAGTTAAATTAGTTTAACCAATTCGTACTCTTAGTTTGTGACTGGGAGTAAAAGTCTCTTTTACTCCCAGTCTTAATTCTCTTGTGGGAGTAAAAGTTAATTATACGGTCTGGTATTATTATTATAGAATAACAATATTCCACAGTCCAGCAGTTACCAGTATTTTTATTATATTACTGTACAAGTCAAACATGACTGCACCAATTATAGGTAACAAGATACATGCATAAGCTGATTTGTCACCTGCACAATAATTAATCAAGTCATGATCTAGAAAACTCGGCCAAAGTATCAAAATTACTATTGTTTTCTTGTGACTACTGTACAGTATATCACAAAATTCTAAAATTAAAGCTACAAAGAGGACTATCGTATAGTATGTATATCTGTATAGTATATATTCATTTTAAGAGTGTCACATACTTTACTAAAAGTTTCCAGTCAACACAATTCTTCCTGCTTCAATTAGAGTCTTGAAAATATTACTGATGTCATTATTATTTCCAATGGCTTTTTATGTATGTTATATACACACAGTATGTTATATACACAGGAATTTACAGTCATAACCATTGGATATCATATTTTAAATTTGGACTACAAGCTTACAGTAGTAACCATTGGGATATTAAGCCATATATAATCATATCGTCTCATAAAGCTATCTCTCTGTTGCTTTTTTGTCACACTGCACAGCTCTGGATTAATTAAGCCCCCCCCCCAATATAACCCCTTGTGTTTAAGTCCACCACATTTAATAATGCTAATTAGGCTGTAGGCCAGTCCAAATATAACCTCTGCCCCCCCCCCCTAATATAAACCTTGCATGTATAAGCTACAGTACCTTACTTATTAAAAAACTCATTAATAATTCAATTGAAGAAAACACAAACTTTAAGAAATATCATAAGCATGTCGTATATCTGTATATGTGATACAGATTCATGTTGATTTACATAAACTTTAACCCATTGATTGGCGATGCAGCCTACTTTAGTATTTTACTCTGTCTAACGCCATAGTATTTTACTCTGTCTAACGCCAGACAATTTTACTCGTCAAGGGGAGAGCGCTGGCGTTTAATCCAATACAACACAGCCGCTCATGTTGTAAACATTACTTATTGGCAGGTACTGTATTTATTAAAGCAGTGACAAAGATATTAACTTGTAACAGCTCAGACAAGTGGCGATAATTCCGTTACTAACAGTATCATAACATGTTAACCCATTGAGTGGCAATGCACCCTAATTTAGTATTTTACTCTGTCTAACGCCAGACGATTTTACTCGTCAAGGGGAGAGCGCTTGCGCTTAATGGGTTAACCAACTTATTATATTATATGTGTTATATACTGTATTTTATATTTCTTTTCGTGAACATGCAGCACATTATGCTAGGTACACG